CTTCTCACACAGGGATCAATAGGACAGCCTTACACTCCAATCATCACCAGCCATTTTGGCGATGTTCTATCTATAAGTACCTCAACTCCAACATTAAAGTGGGTCTGGCTATCTTGGAGAAATTGACTCATCAATTGATTTCTCTATTATGTCATCCCTTTATAGTCGGCCATACATACCAGTAGGTAAAAGAGTCCACTATATAGGAACAAGATGTGTCTGCCATTATGTCAGATAATACTCAATATAGAAAGTATAAGGACCAGTAGGTTGGATACAAAAGATAGAAAGAAACAGTGTACAAGGCCCGTAGTGGTGTACACCATCTATATAGAAGGAAGTGATGTACTAGGGTTGTAGTGAACGTTGTCCACCAGTAGGTTCGATACCCAATGTAACCAGACCTTGTTTGCAGAGAGAATCTCGCCATTTCTCCCCATGTAACCAGGCCTTGTTTGGAGAGAGAATCTCGCCATTTCTCTGTGGTTTACAGACCTATAAAGTTAGTCATGTTATTTCTACTATATTCATACAATGACACTAAGTGTACAGGTTGTAGGTCTTTTTTGGGAGTTAAACCACTTAAATTATTCCCAGTAATGTTGAAGAAAAGTATTAACATAATAAATATCATAAATGGTAGCACAATGAATAAGCTCACTGCTTTATAATACTCAATAGGTCCTTTTATGAAAGATGAAGTCATAATAGATATCATTCTTTAGTATATAACTCATTGCTATAGTAAATGGACAAGCAAGTCATGCAGTCAGATAAATTCTATACAAATTGGAACTCTTCTTCATTTCATTTCACAAGAATTTTATTGAATATTGCATCTTATACAAATTTCAAAAGGAATTGGGCAACAGGCGTAATGCCTATACAAGCCTCTCCTATGGAATGGACAATGTATATTACAATATATTTTATTGTTCTTCATTGGAGATATATAACACAGAGCACTGTGACTTCCTACCTTAATGGACACATAATGAGTCTGGTTGTCCTACTGTCCAGCCAATACTTTTGAGAACAATTCTCCCTTTTTCTTAAGAAATAAATGAAATTTTCCCAGTAATTCAGTTACTTCCAGCTGGTAATGAAAGTGGCTGGATTATACAAAGGGTGTACTGTGTTGGTAGAGATCTGTGTCTGTTCCATGTACTAGGTTCTGTAAGTCAGTCGTAGATGTAATCATCGATTATCATTGATTCCCGATCCCCTTTACTTAATCGTGATTAGTTTTCCAATTCACATGTCATAAAATTAGGTTTGGTTGACTACACATTTTTATCTCAGGACTGAACCATTCTAAGTAAATTTAATATCATCCGAGAAGGTCATGGTTTTTCTAGAGCTATAGAACCAATCTAAATCAGATACTGTTCTTAAGAGTAATTGCCCAAGTATCGACATTACAAACATAAGCCGTGTTCTATTCCTAAGAGCTATCCACACTATGACAGGAATCATCCTAAACATGTACGCTATAAAAAAAACACCAGCATTATACATTCTGATCAGATTTCACACAAACACATTCTGGTATATGTTGTAAAGGATATGAATTTCAAAATGTAGTGATATTATTTGCACTATTTAGAAAAAAACACGCTGAAAATATATGAGGATACCATTCTATAGGCCATCTGAATTTAACGATAAAACATTTGAAATAGATTACATACCTTCGAAAAGTCATAGATATATTCACTATGCGTATATATAAATGGGCAATTTCTGTCATATTTAAATTTACTCCCTCAGCTATGAATGAAATTGGCCATCTCAAAAAATATTTTTTTACTAAGTAATCAAAACACACCAAAGAGTTCAAATTAAAACATGTTTTAAGTATAGTGGGAAAACTTATAAGTATGTTTGGCAAGTATCTACATTAGAAGTTATACTGAAGCATGATCAATTTATAGAAAAACATATACAGAGAGTTAAGATAATTAGTGTTGATTTGTACATACAGCTCCAAACAGTATGCCTGATATATATGCCTACATCATGTATTAAGTAACCTAAGGTAAAAAGATCACCTGCAAATAACTTTTAGGACATTTGCACAACGTAGCCTGCATAGCCGTTTCCTTTGATTGAATAACAGATACATGTCTCGGAGAATTATATCTTCATAGATTAAATTAAAAATATTTCTGAGCTGGGGAAAAAACTTGTAAAATGAAGAAAAGAAAACGTAAAATGATATGTTGTAGTGGTATAATTATTTTCTACTTGGGAGTCTGGTGAAAACAGAAACAATAGCTGCCTGTTTCCTTTCTAAATGCGTTACAGGAATTGTCTTCGTGGAAGGCATCAGCTCATTAGTTAATTAGATAAATGACTTAAATGCTATCATTATCATGATATCCAACTCTATAATGACCTTGACCTTTTCTGAGAGTCTCATTCTAAAACTACTACACATATTCTGAATGTTGATATTTATGAAGAAAGATCAGTTTCTTTTGTGGTAACACAGACATTTTCTTTGATGCCTATTTTTATTTTCATTCTTTTTGCCACTTCTCTAAATTTAGATGAAAGCTTGGAAGCTGTGGTCGTTTGAAGATTATACAATTGTTTATTGTTACACACAGCTCCTTTAAACATTCTCCATTGAACCAGCACAAGTAGAATTCCTCTTCACCTTTGGTGTGTTTAATCCATTGACAACCAACAGCATTTTTGTGTTAAAAGACATTTGCCTGTGTTAGGTGGATTGATGGAGCCCTGAGAAAAGCAGATTAGATATCTCGTGTGCGATGAATTCATTGTGTGCTTAACTCAATTGTTGGGATATTTATAAACCAGACAGCTTTTTCATTTGTCATTACAAAATGATAGAATAGCATGCCGAGTACCAGTGTTGAGTTTTATGGCATTGCTGTGTCATCTTCCTCAGAGGAAGCTGCAGAGTGTCTTTTGTCATTGAACGTCCATTAGACCAATGCCACACAACAAATTATTTACATCTCAAATGAAAAATTGCATTTAGCAGCAGCATTTATTTTGTAATTGAAATTTCTGGCGCAAATGTATTTGATCAATTGTTGTTTTCAGAAATAAAATATGCATTTTCACAGTCAGATGCCTAGACTAGTGGTATAAGAATTTGAATAGGAAGGAATGGTGGATGTCAAATAGTTATGCTAATTGAAGAGAGCTGGTCAAAGTGGTTTTGTACAATATTCAACTTCATGCTTGTTGCTTAAAATAAGTAAATGACTTTTGATATGCCTATATAATAGCTAAATGACTTTAGGACCAATTAGTGTGTAATATGTACTCTGTAATGCGATGATAGACATGAAAGAAGAAACATGTTGGAGGATAGGTATATGTAAGGTATGATATATAGAAATATTGTTTTAGAACGTCTCTCTGTCTGATTGATTATAGATAAGTCGTGTTTGACAACCCAAGGTCTCATTGTTAAGGCTTCTCTATCATTTACAGACTGATGTATCACCCTCCTCCCTCTAAATAGCTTTGGTTCCAGATCCAATTAAGTGTGATGTTTGTCATCATATTACACACTGACTTGATCAGTGCCATACTTCATAACAGATTAGTCTGTGACAAACTTCTCAACAGTTATATTGCTTGACAGATCCTTTTTTACATAAGTATCATATTTTGGCATCTCAAATTCTTGTTTGTGTGTGGCAGAATTACTCAGTTTTGATGTGTGCAGACAAGCACATCGGTTACAAACAAGCACCAATACCTGTGAACTTGGGTATGGTACAGCACGTGTCCAGTATCCGTCAGCTATCATCTATTCTTCTTTATTTTGTTTGAACAGCATCTTTTTTAAAATTTAAGAATCCATTAATTTCTGATTTACTCTGTGAAGGTCAAAGGTCAAGTTTGTATGTTGACAGGGGTAAAATGTCATCAAGAGCTATTAAAATGAAAGCTTTACATATCTTGTCCAGTTCAGTAAGACCAGGGTTAGGATATTTGGCCTGTAGATACATGGTATTGGTTGTGTATGTATAAAGTCCTTACATAAATTCCTTTGACCTGCTGGTACTTTTAAGGTCACAGGGGTCAATCCTTAGATCATAATTTGGGAATGGTCAAGATCCCCAACCTATAACCAAGCATACAGTTTCTTGGCATGAAGAGACCAACACAATCATGCTACCATGATTGCCACTGAGGTCCTAGAGGTCCTTGAGGATATTGTCTCTGGGCCATAACATAGAAATAGTTGAGATGCACACAATCATGCTACCAGGATCCGTGCTGGGGTCTGGTCTCACCCCTAGGGACTTGGTCCCTTGGTAATAAAATGGAAACAATTGAGATCTCCACACAATAGCACAAATACACAGAAATCAAACAAATAAACCATGAAGCATCCTTGGTCCGTGAGACCTGGAAATCAATTGTTGTGTGAAAAAAGAGTGTAGGTGTTTAGGGGCTGGGCCCAAAAGAGGATAATTTTGGCATTTAAGTCTTTAAAACTTGACTCCTCCTAAACAGTTTATCTTATTTTATGACATTTGGTATGAAGCAGTCTTAGATCCAAATGTTATATAAAGCAAAGGTGTTGTCTTCTCAAATGCTGAATGCAAAATATGGAAATATTTGCAATCTTTCTTTTAATGAGAATATTTTGCCATATTTTTCTAAATATCCTTGTGAGCATTACAAAATCTATGGGCGTTTTGTTTTATTTTGGGAACAGACAGGTGTGCTGGGTAATTAACACCACTGATCAAAGCTGACATTGTTTGGTCTGACGTAACCATGATAGTCATTTGTATCACTGACATCCTTTAGGCGAAAGCCAATCATTGCGTGAAATATGTGTTATAGGACTGTCATACATGCAAGTGAATAACTTGGTAAAAATGTAACAAATGGTTAATCTCCTGTCCAGTGAAATAACTGGATTGGAATTTTTAACATGATTAACTGTTTTTGTATGATGTGTTCATGATAATATTAACCTTTAACAAATTAATTACAACATGATTTGACATTTTATTTGTAGCTGCTCTTAAAGGAAATGTTCGTAAGGCTTCCATTAGTGAAAAGGTAGAGAAGTCCCGAGTATCTCAGGCCTACATAGAGAGTATAAAGGTAAACCAAAAGTCACCATCACTGTCTCTATAGCATGTAATGGAGTAGTCACCGTCTGCACATCCCGTCATTTTCCGCCATTTCTCTTGTCTAACATTCCCCTACCTAACAAAAGCATGGACACTGTATTTAGAAGTTGTACACTGCACCAACCTGGTGAAATTATTTGCATATTTCATTTCTCATTTTTTTTCATCAATATTTAGTCTAATGCTTTAGAGTTCCTATTCATTTAGAATTTGTGAGTAATAACTATAGCCCTACTGTTGACTGTTAGTGAAGACACCTGTTTGACTAAACATGATACATGTTTTCTTGAATTTCCTTTTAGAAAGGATTGGTATGTGAATTACAGATGAATATAAAACTTATTTGCATGGTCATGAATTTGTGTTTTTGATAAGATATTGAGTAAACCGGTATACAGATGTTGTCTGAGACAGTCATTGTATACCATCAGTGATCCCCCGAGGCTGCCACAGCATTCCATCCAGTGATCGGATACAAATGGCCTCCCAGAATCATTTCTATTTCTATTTTAGACCAAGAAATCTATTTTCGTCAGTCGTGTGTTTTTCATCTTTCAGTTTATATCGGCTCTATATTGCTTCTGTTGTTGATGCTACAAAAATTTCAATTTTAAAACGTTGCAATTTACGCCGTGACATCTGAGGAACCTTTCACACAATATAAGTCATTCCTAGAGTTTTAATCAATTTATCATATCTTCATTCATATAAAATCTACATAGTACTGAAACAGATTTTTAAGAGATTCCACCTCTTTCTAGGTACATGTACCAACTTTGTGTGAGATTTATTCCACACTATTGTACTTGATGTTGTATGGTTTGTATTAGTGGTTGTGATAGAAGCATGGCATGTTGATGATTCTCTGCTAATTTGAAGACTAAAAATTCTGCTTGAACTAACTCCTAAAATACATGTATAGCATATCTAGAAACACTAGTAAATGTTGACACGTGAACACTTACATATTTCTATATATAGATGCAGTGTGCTTTATTCACTGATGCATCCGACAGTTTGATGTTGTTCCACTTTGATGAGTAATACAAATGAATTATTTCTCCATGGTAGAGATATTTATGTTTTACTTGTAAGACATACCAGTTTTCCTGATATCTAGATATCTCTTTTACCTAAATACAGACCAGTTATCCTGATATCTAGATATCGCTTTTACCTGTAATTAATACAGACCAATTATCCTGATATCTAGATTTCTCTTTTACTTGTAAACTCTTGTATATTTTGATTTTTTTTTTATAGAAACTCGAAAGAAATCAGCCAATACTTGAATTTACACCTTTCATTTATGACTCGGTCATCTTTTATATTAAACACTGGGTAATGATGATACTCATTTCTATAATTAAACACTGGGTAAAGATGATACTCATTTTCATAATTAAACACTGGGTAAAGATGATACTCATTTTTATAATTAAACACTGGGTAAAGATGATACTCATTTTTATAATTAAACACTGGGTAAAGATGATACTCATTTTTATAATTAAACACTGGGTAAAGATGATACTCATTTTTATAATTAAACACTGGGTAAAGATGATACTCATTTTTATAATTAAACACTGGGTAAAGATGATACTCATTTTTATAATTAAACACTGGGTAAAGATGATACTCATTTTTATAATTAAACACTGGGTAAAGATGATACTCATTTTTATAATTAAACACTGGGTAAAGATGATACTCATTTTTATAATTAAACACTGGGTAAAGATGATACTCTTATGGATTCGTGTAACACTTTTAATGAAGCAGGTCTGTCTTAATTTTCTTGTATGATGCTAGCAAAGGACTAGGGGCGTTAAAGGTCATTTCCGACATCATCAAGGATTTTGAATTAGTTGTTATATTCGTAATCTAGAATAAACGAAGTATTGAAATATGAAATTCAATCGACAACTGGTTTACATAAACCAGCATTTTCATAAAAAATGTGTGAATATTGTCTGGTGTGCGCTATTTGGTTGAAAATTGACCATTTTGAAGGAAATTAAGTAAACACTTATTAAATTTTGAAAGCCTCCGCATGCAACAAACAAAATAAAATTTGACATGCTTAAACGTTGTCAAACCAGTGTTATTCGTCGAAAGAAATTTTTATTTGTCACATGCGAAGGCTTTCATTTCTGCATGCTTACTGTCCAAAACACCATATTTCGTCTATTTCTGCATAGCAACGCAATTTTGTTGCTATGGTAGGGCATCTACACATGCGCATTGGAAAAAAGGTGCACCAAGAAAGATAGCCCAAATTTACCAATATGATGTTCATAACGGAAATTGGTAAATAAATTCAAGTTGAAATTATTTACCAATTTCTGTTATGAACATCATATTGGTAAATTTTTATGAGGCCAAATATGTATCATAGACAAAGGACGATATTCTATATATCTACATCATCAGGCTATTAACCAAGAATACATCCTTGAGAGAAAATAGGAAGAAAGGGAATGGCTGTAAAAGATGCACATCAATGTACATTAATAAAAAATGCTCAGCTAGCTAGTAGCTTTTCATCAGCATTCAGCTCCTATAGGCATTTTGTTATGGATTGTTGGAAAAGTGAGGGATTATTTTCCCGTGGGTCAGGTAACATATGTTTTAAGTGGAGGAGAAGATTGAAGGCAGCCAGGCATCAGACTTCCAGGCTAATTACCCTCAACAACAATATCCTATTAACTAGTAACAGGCTTTTATTACCTGTTTTGATTACCTACCTGTAAGCAGGTTTTGCATGTGCACTGTAAGACGATGTCATTACCATATGTTCCATGATGAGGGAGGGGATTGTGACATTTTGCTTTGATGATCTTGTGCATGTCAGTGATTTACAAAGTATTTTTTTCAGTTTTACTACATGGTCATGATGAAGCCTAGTTGTATATATGTAGTTTATCATACAAGTAAGAGAAGCCTACATAAAAGTGATCAAGGATATTTTATACAAGCTAATCACCACACATGGTATCAGATATTAAATAAAAAACTAAGATTCTTTGTGGAAGACAGCACACAGTGATTAAAGTATCTTTTTCCAATAACTAATAAACTGTAAACATCCTTTTAATCAAACTTTGTGTCCAACAGTTTAGATATCACAGGTCAGAGAGCAGTCAGTTTTCATTTTAAGGCCTTGACCAGTAAAGGTATCACAGGTTAGAGAGGGGCCTTGACCAGTAAAGGTATCACACGTTAGAGAGTGGCCTTGACCAGTAAAGGTATCACAGGTTAGAGAGGGGCCTTGACCAGTAAAGGTATCACACGTTAGAGAGTGGCCTTGACCAGTAAAGGTATCACAGGTTAGAGAGTGGTTTTGCATCTCTATTTCTCTATTTGCATCACTGTTTATCATGTTTAGGCCCCGACAAGTCTAGGTACCATAGGTCAGAGAGTGGTCAATTATGATGTTTAGGCCCAGACAAGTCTAGGTACCACAGGTCAGAGAGTGGTCAGTTATGATGTTTAGGCCTTGGCCAGTCTAGGTACCACAGGTCAGAGAGTGGTAGGGGATGTTGAGGCCTTGACCAGTCTAGATATCACAGATCAGAGAGTGGTCAGTTATGATGTTTAGGCCTTGGCCAGTCTAGGTATCTCAGGTCAGAGATTGGTAGGGGATGTTTAGGCCCTGACCAGTCTAGGTATCGCAGGTCAGAGAGTGGTCAGTTATCATGATAGGCCCTGACCATTCTAGGTATCACAGGTCAGATAATGCTCAGTTATTATGTTATAGGCCCTGACCTGTCTAGGTTATCATGTTAGGCCCTGACCAGTCTAGGTATCACAGGTCAGAGAGTGGTAGGTGATGTTGAGGCCTTGACCAGTCTAGATATCACAGATCAGAGAGTGGTCAGTTATGATGTTTAGGCCTTGGCCAGTCTAGGTATCTCAGGTCAGAGATTGGTAGGGGATGTTTAGGCCCTGACCAGTCTAGGTATCACAGGTCAGATAATGGTCAGTTATTATGTTATAGGCCCTGACCTGTCTAGGTTATCATGTTAGGCGCTGACCAGTCTAGGTATCACAGGTCAGAGAGTGGTCAGTTATCATGTTAGGCCATGACCAATTTAGGTATAAATGGTCAGCTGTATTTACCAGAGTAGGTTTCACAGGTCTGAGAACAGCAATTTTTATTTACACTGGTACATGTGGTCCAAAACCAACCAGATTGCCTTGGCTGTCATGGTAACCATGGCAATCCAACAAGTGACAAGGCCTTGTGCCGTAAATGGATTTGCAATAATCAGAGCCCATGCAATGACTTCTTTCGTCCACTCTCATTACTAATTTGGTCACCCAAAAGTAAGGTACGGTATTAAAAGCTTAGTTGCATATAAGGCACTTAAGCTGATTGTAATGACACCATTCATTATACACGAAGCGTGAATAATTGAAAACATCGTGGTGAAATTTTTCAGGTTTGCTTAATCATTTATCAACAAATTTTGAAATATTATCTTAAATGAGAACCGGATTTTATAGATAGAAGTATGCGGTGCTGGTTACTATTAGATTAGGGCTGGTCAGTGGGGGTCTAATGTAACGTTCATTATCAATCAGCGTGAAAATAGGGTTTCCTGTACCTGTCAATCTCATGCCCATGAATGGCCATATAAGGGCAAGAATCAATTAAATGTCGGTGTACTTGGCCAGACCAGCTTATAAAACACTTGATTGGAGGTTTGCCACGATTCCCTGACAATCATGATGTGTATCAGACTCTGGGCCTTAACTTTGACACGTGTGGTCATCACTATTACTGTGTTAAGATCAGGTTTTGTGGCCATTTCAACCATAGACAAACCCAGCAATGACAGTGTGCCTGATCAGGCATAAATAACACTAACAAATACCCATTGGTCATTTGCCATCATTATAAAACTGGTAATGCAGGGCTATATGTATTTTCCTATTTAATTGGACTGATATTGATCAAAGCTA